GCCCATGCAGTTGCTGTACTCTTCAGATCTCTAGCCTTCTCTGGCTCTCTCCCTATGGTGTGCAGGGTAGCAAAATGTTTTTTCAGTTTGTGCCTATTTTGGAGGACTCTTCCCCCCCCCTTCAGTTCCCTAAAAATGTGTGTCCTTATTAAAACACGTTGTGAACTTTGGAAAAAAAGATCAGAGAAGCTGCTTCTTTCAACGATGGCTCCAAAATATGTGGGTGTGGGGAGGAATCCTGAAATTTGTAGTCTATATAAACACCCAGAGGCCATGCTGTCTGGAAAATTCTGAGAACAGAAGTCTAAAATGCAACTATGCCACCATCTGCTTAGAAATGAATGTATTTCTTAGGCAAAGAGGTGTGCTGAACCACTGAGCTACTGAAAGCTCCACTGCTGAGTCTCAATGCCTTTCCATGTTGGAACTGGACCACCTTTCGAATTTGAGCTAGCATTTGGGCACATGGGCTCCTTGGTGGGTTTTTTGTTTGTTTGTTTGTTTGTCTGCTTTTTGGGTACTGTATCTACTTTTGCCAGTCTTCACACTGAAAGATGTTCAACTGTAGCTTGGAAAGTTACTTTTCAAAAGTCATTGGCTCCTGATGCTTGTTACAATGTCTCATTGTAACCACTTCTCATAGTGCTGAAAAAAATACAGTATTGCTTTTAGTTACATTCATTATTGCACAACCTATTACTTTTTCCATTTTGTTCATTACTGGGTATTAATAAGAAAGTGGTATAACAGTTCAGAAAGTACTTTAAAATGATTTCAATGACTTTTAAAAATAACTTTTGACAGTAAGTAAAGTGACAACATAATTGCCATTAAAATAACTTTTGAAAGTAACTAGAGTCAAGTTTATACAGTAGTTTGTTGTTGTTTAGTCATTAAGCCATGTCCGACTCTTCGTGACGCGATGGATCAGAGCCCGCCAGGCCCCCCTATCTTCCACTGAATTTGACGAATTGGGTCAAATTCGTGTTGGTCGCTTCGATGACACTGTCCAACCATCTCGTCCTCTGCCGTCCCCTTCTCCTCTTGCCTTCACTTTCCCAAAATCAGGGTCTTTTCCACGGAGTCTTCTCATGAGATGGCCAAAGTATTGGAGCCTCAGCTTCAGGATCTGTCCTTCCAGTGAGCTCTCAGAGTTGATTTCCTTCAGAACGGATAGGATTGCTCTCCTTGCAGACCAGGGGATTCTCAAGAATCTCCTCCAGCACCACAATTCAAACGCATAAATCCTTCGGTGGTCAGCCTTCTTTATGGTCCAGCTCTCGCTTCCATACATCACTACTGGAAAACCCATAGCTTTGACTATGCAGACCTTTGTCGGCAAGGTGATGTCTCTGCTTTTTAAGATGCTGTCCAGGTTTGTCATTGCTTTCCTCCTAAGAAGCAGGCATCTTTTAATTTCATGGCTCCTGTAACCATCTGCAGTGATCATGGAGCCCAAGAAAGTAACATTTGTTACTTCCTCCACAAATTCCCCTTCTATTTGACAGGATACTAATCCTACTTGCTATGGAACTTTGTGGATTCCTCATTACCCTCAAAAGTAACTAAATACAGTTAATGCTATAACTTTCTACTTCCAAGTCCCATATTTAATACAGGGTTTCGCTTCAGTTTTCACTCGAATGCTTGGCATCAGCATGGGAAGAGAGAAGAAGTGGATTTCACAAAATAAACAATTTACCGACACAAGGAATCAGCCGGAGGTTGGAAAGCAGAGTTGGAGAGCAAGGTGTCATCATGACCTTCAAGCTACTGGTTGATTGGGGATCAATAGCTGCAACGGGTATTGCTAGCTGGTGTGAATATGCTGGTCTCTAGATCTTCCTCTCTATACACAGGAGTACACATTTCTCCATCCACATAATGGTACACACATATACTCATTCCTATCAGATACCTGGCAATCAAGGAACTGATGTCATGAATGATCAAGGGTGCCAGGGGCACCTAGAACCTTTTAATTGTTGTTTAGAAAGAGAGGAAACAAAAGGGAGCTTTCTGTGCTCAGTAAAATTAGATAAGTGGAGGGAGAGAGGTTTTGCTTCACTCAACATCTCCTCTGGTATAGAACACAACCAGAAGATTAAGGAGGAAAATGTCACTTGTTACATTATTCTACCCAGATTGTCCATTGCCTTCCTTTATGGGGTGATAGGAATTTGAGATTAACAATGAAAAAAATGGCACTCCAATTGGGCAGACACCAAAGAACAGGGCTAAAGGTTGCCTCCTCTCATTCTGTGGTTTTCAACCTTGGGTCCTCCAGCTGTTTCAGACCTCAACTCCCAGGAGACCAGGTCAGTTGGTCCCATGGTAAGGGATGCCGGGAGTTGAAGTCCAAAACAGCTGGAGGACTGAATGATGGAAAATACTACTGCATATGAAAGCTAGTTGGACTAGGAAGATCTTTCTTAAAAGCTGGCAACAGCCCAGCGTCCTCCACAGGATGGCAAGTCAGCGGCCTGGCTTAAGAGATGCAGCGCTAGCAGTTTGCACATGGGTTTTCTCCTGCCTTGGGTGGCCAATGCCTTCTGCACCATCTGCCACCTGAAGCGATTGCCTCACCTAGTCTAGCAGTACAGCTGGCCTTGCCTGAAAACAACTATCTAAAGAAGTATCTTCTTTATGGAGAAGTTATTTTTCAGAAAAGCAATTTGTTGCCTTTCTTATTATTTCTTGGCCACCAGGTCATTGCTAATCATTATCATTCCATCCTCAGACAAGCAGCTGGTCGTGTCGTGTGTTATTAACATTTTGCCTTGTCATTAACAACTGACTGAGCAATAGGGGGAAATATTATCTTCTGCTTTCCTTTAAGGGCAAAGGCTGATTTTGTATCATGCAAATGTTTACAAAAACATAAAAAGCAATAGAAAAGAGTACTTCCCAGTCCACTTTAAGACTGACTAGAGAATGCCATTAAATGTGAAAAAAAATCTTGTAAAATCTTTTACTAAAATATCTGTTAAAAATACTCCAAAGAGTAATGTTTGAAAGTAACTAGAAACTCACCATTTATTACAACTAATGAGTAACAAACCCTAACCATTTGTTGGATTTTATTCTTACTGTAACTTTATAAATGTTTGTGACATTACTCATTCCACAAAAAAGCAAACTAGGTACTTTAAAGCTCTTCTTGGTTCATACACCATTCACAAGAGAAGGGTTTTTTGTTTTTTTGTTTTTTTGCTGTGCCTCTGTTAGCCCTTGTCAGCTGTTAGATGGGTCCTTTCTGCCTAGGGTCCTTTTGAGGAGAAAGGAGGGGTAAAAATATAACTGACAGACATACAGATAGCAGGGGGTTTGACTTGATGGCCCCTGTGGTCTCTTCCAACTCTGTGATTCTATGATTCGATAGATAGATAGATAGATAGATAGATAGATAGATAGATAGATAGATAGATAGATAGATAGATAGATAGGTAGGTAGGTAGGTAGGTAGGCAGGTAGGCAGGTAGGCAGGTAGGCAGGTAGGCAGGTAGGCAGGTAGGCAAGGTAGGCAAGGTAGGCAAGGTAGGTAGGTAGGTCATTTATCTGACTTTTGGCTTTTGTTCCTTTTCATTCTGCTATCCTGTTTTTATTTTTGTTTTTTAATCTGTATTGAAATTCTTATCGATGAACTATGGTTTAGAAACCTTTTTTATGTGAACCTTTGGTTCTGTCAATAAAGTAGCAAACTGCTAGTGTCTAGTGTGTATATAACCAGTATTACACATGAGAGAATATCTTAATGGATTTTCAAAAATGATGGGTGTTTTCTGTTTTAGTCAGTGGATGCATCCAGTGATGCTTTCCAAGCTAGAGAACATGACCCCCCCCCTTTTGGAATAACTTGATAATAAATGATAATAATCATGTGCTATCAAGTCAATTCCGACTTACGGTGACCCTTTTCAGGGTTTTCTGGGTATATATGAGGGCCGAACATAAAATGCTCAGAGGGAAGGTGATTATTGAGGCCAAGACTACTCTCAGGGAATCATCAGAGAATCCAGAGGTGTACTATGCCCACAGAGCGGATCTCAAGAAGGTGAACCAGGCTACCAAGGATAGATCCCCTTGACATTTAGTCCAGTTGTGGACTAAACAATGGCCAGCGTTTGTCCGAAGACAGTTTCTGTGGTCACGTGGCCAGCACGACTACACACGGAACGTCGTGACCTTCCCACCGAGGTGATACCTATTTATCTGCTCACATTTCTACATGCTTTCAAACTGCTAGGTTGGCAGGAGCTGGGACAAGTGATGGGAGCTCCCTCCGTCACGTGGATTCGATCTTACGACGGCTGGTCTTCTGACCTTGCAGCCCAGAGGCTTCTGCAGTTTAACCCGCAGGGCCACCATGTCCCAATGATAGATCACGTCTACAAAATCTACTGGCTAGTCCTCTGAGTCTGAAGGACAGCTTCAAGACTGTGGGCCTGGTCATACGTAATTTGGTCCATTTCCTCAGTTCAGGCAATGAAGCAACCAGCAAAGGGATTGCTTAAGATCTCTGCTGCACCAGCAACAGCCTGCCTGAGGGATCTGTTCAACCAGCAACAGACTAGATCAGTCTGGATGTCTTTATCGGCACTGCTCCTTCCTGGCTTTTCAGCTGGGCTTTGATTTAGGGTCAAACTGGATGTTCACAGGAACGTGTATTCTCTGTCATTCATTCATTTCCCACCCTACAACAGGTTATTGTCAGAGATAGGCACTTGGGCAATCAGATATCTGAACAAAGCCCTTGTTTACATCCCTGTGGCTAATCACAAAAAGAAGAACGCATAATGCAAAAGACACCGTTGAAGAAAATTACGGGTATCTTTCCCCACTTGAAGGATCACCTCTCCTAGAAATGGGCTAAGCCCATCATCTCATTTGACATGTAGTCGATGTCTTAGACAGACTGCTCCCTACTTCTTAATCACTTGATAAGATCGCCAGGGCCAGGACACTAGCTGGGTGCCACGGAGGTGGTCTGAAGTTCCTACCTGGTTTGTTGCATCTTCTGCAGCTGTGTCTGATCGAAGTCAAGATGGTGATGAAGACTGAGACACCATTGCAAGGCCATGCAAGTGGCAGGGAGTCCTCTTGTGATGTTGGCTCCACTGTAACAGCTAGTTTCTCCTGTGTGGTCATGATGCTGGTTTCTGTCTAGGGTCTGGCTGAACTCTGACAGAGCTGTGGCACATTTTTCTGGTGGCAAAAAAGCAGTAATAATCCTGCAAACACAGCAATGGCTATGGGGAGCAACCATACATTTCTCAGAATGCCTTAGAGGATGGTCCATTGCACATGTATGAGAGGACTGCAAGATATTTAGAGGTTAGATGAGATAGGGAGTCAAGGATTGGGCCCCAACAGGGCTCTGGGAGCATTGCAGATAGCTAGGGATGATGGACGACACTGTCAGTCCTGACCACCATGGCCAGGTATCTGGTCTTTTATGGCACTAGGAAGGGAGGACATGAGACCCACACAGAGGGGATCCTATCTGCATATAACGATCTGTCCTTAGAACTCCTTCAAATTGATGTGACATCCCTGGATCAACATAATAAAAATAATTTAGAACTGTGGAGCTGGAAGGGACCCTATGGATCATCGAGTCCAGGCACTGTCAAGGAAGCTCAGTGGGGGAATCAAACTCCTAACCTCTGGCTCGGCAACCAGATGCCTAAGCCACTGACCTATCCAGCAAAGTCTTGCCAGTTCCTCCACTAGAGAGAGGACTCTCTGTTTCCCTTTCCTAGCCCGTTTTGGTCCAGATTGCAATTTAATCTTGTCTCCCGTCTTCAGGGAGAGATGCCTCTTTGACCTACTTGCTCCTGTTCTATTTCTGGGCTTTATTTTAAGCACATGGAACATCTGATGGACTCTCTGCATGAGTCTGCGGTGGGATTCCACTTCTCATCAGCCTTTCCCGCCATAACTGATGAGTGATGGAGGAAACAAAAGCCTTTATAACATTTTAGGGGCCGCACATTTCCCATTCTTATACTGAAGAATCCTTTTGTAGATTCCTCTCCCATCCCAGTTACAAAAAGGGTGTAAATCTCCACGGGGAAGGCTCCCAAGGCACGCAGACGGTACAACTAACTTCCCGGACAATGACTCCCAGAATGCCTCAGACAGGTTTTCTTTCTCTCTCTCTCTCTCTGTGTGTGTGGTTAATGTGTGCGTGTACATATATGGTTAACCTAAACAAGTAACAGATCTCTGCCAAGAGATAAGTTATCTCAATGCCACTTTGGCGCCAGGCAAGACATTCTTGCATTCTGTCATGCATTTTACTGGTATGTGTCCATGGGATGAAGGACTAAAGCGTTCAACATTCCAGAACATTAAGGCTTTGGGGGCTGGTTGGCCGCGTGTGTGGCTGTCTTCTTACCACCTTACTTCAGTAACTGGAGATAAATGGCCAGGAGGGTCATACCGCAAAGGCCACATAGCAAAGATCAGTAATGTGTGAGCCTCCAGATGTTGGTGGACGGCAGCTGGCGGAATCCCCTGCCTTTGTGCCTTCCAGCAACATCTAGAGAGCCACACATTCTCTGTCCATGGCACATCCGGCCTTGAAGCATTCAAAATGTGCCACTAGGATCATAAACAGAGAAACAGGAGGGGAATCACGGTGGTTCTGAGTCAACGCACACCTCAAAAACACTCATTTTAGACGTGCTCCAGATTAATTTTCCAAACACCTGGAGTAGATTGTGGGGAGGCCTGCAGCTTAGGCTTTCTTAAAAGCGCTAGACGTTCATAAGGCTACAGCGTCTCGTTCAGCAATATCTTACTGGCTCAGCTCCTGAATTTTTATGCTTTGTCATTTTGCAAAAGGCAGTCCTCTGAAGGCTGTTAGCAGCTCGCCCCCTCCAGTGCTGAAGAACAGGGTGTGTCCCAGTATGAATACTGAGTACAGAGCAATCTCTCTCTGCACATGTACATGTGTCTATGTCTCTGTGTGTGTGTGTGGGGGGGGGGGAAGCAGGGACAATTAAATAATGTTTCACATTTCTGCGTTGGAGGGACAGCATCTGAAGAAAAATAAAAGAAAAATGGCCACCAGGGCTGAAGTACGGTAGCAGTACATACAGCCTTTCTCAGCCTGTAAAGAGTTGGGGCCACTACCTTGGTTTGTCTGCCTAATTTTTGAAGGCCAAGCCCTAAAGTACCTCTGTAGGCTTCAAGAAGCAAAGCCCTTCTCTCAATTTCACCTCCCTTAGAGGCATTTCTCGTAAGAGAATCAGAAGGGGCCTTCTTGGAGTCTGTGCAACTCCCCACCACAGGAAACCTGGTTGTTTCCTTACCTACTGCCTTTCCATGGGCAGCTAAAAGACTTTCCTGTTCAGGCATGTTTTTGGCCACTGAAAGGGCTGAAGAGAAATTAAGTGTTTAATGAGAGGATGCTATATTTATTTTTCTTTTAAGCCTTTCCCCCCACGTTTTCATGCATGAGGTTTTTCCTTGTTTTTTAATGTGTTTTTGAAATGCTTTAAGTTCACATTACTCTGCATTTGATGACGTTTCAAAATGATCACATGTTTATTTGCATTTTTAGTATTGCAATTTATGCATCAGTGTTTCCCCTTGTTTTGTAAGGTGCCTTGAACTCATGAACATGGAGACAGGCAGGATTGAAATGGAAGGAAATAAAATAAATAATCTGGTTTTCTGCAAAATGTATTTGACAAGAGTTCCCATTCCCATCAGCCCCACTGACTCCGAGTTATGGGACTTGCACGAATTAGGTGATTACAATTACCTGATATGAGATTAAGCTTTTGTTCACAAATCCATCTTCTTCAAGGTGTGTCATGTATGTGGATGACAGCAACTCCTTTAAGGTGCTCTAAGGAATCAGTCCCACACACATTTTCTGGGAAGAAGTCCCAGAGAATGCCATAAGTCTTGCTTCCAAGTAGATGTAGATAGGATGTAAGTGTTCCTGATGAAAAATAACAGGCAAGTGTTTATAACTGTTTGAAATAGTTTAATTGCATCTGTTTCATGTCGTGAATCAAATCACGACTCTTGAGTTTGCTAGTTAAAAGTGTTGGGACTATGAAATGGCTTTACATTCCTACTTAACCATAAAACTACTGTACAATTGCACTCATATATTTTATTTATTTATTTACAATGTCTACTCAGAGCAGCTTACAATAAAACATATTTAAGTCAATGGTATTAGTATTGTTCAAGATGGGACAGGAAGCAACAGTTAGAACTGGATGTGGAACAACTGATTGATTCAAAATTGGGAAAGGAGTACGACAAGGCTGTATATTGTCCCCTGGCTTAGTTAACTTATATGCAGAATATATCATGCGAAAGACAGGACTGGAGGAATCCCAAGCCAGAATTAAGAGAGCCGGAAGAAATATTAACAACCTCAGATATGCAGATGATACCACTCTGATGGCAGAAAGTGAGGAGGATTTAAAGAACCTTGTAATGAGGGTGAAAGAGGAGAGTGCAAAAAACAGTCTGAACCTCAGCATCAAAAAAATTAAGATCATGGCCACTGGTCCCATCACCTCCTGGCAAATAGAAGGGGAAGATATGGAGGCAGCGACAGATTTTACTTTCTTGGGCTCCATGATCACTGCAGATGGTGACAGCAGCCAGGAAATTAAAAGACGCCTGCTTCCTGGGAGGAAAGCGATGACAAAACTAGATAGCATCTTAAAAAGCAGAGACATCACCTTGCCGACAAAGGTCTGCATAGTCAAAGCTATGGTTTTTCCAATAGCGATGTATGGAAGTGAGAGCTGGACCATAAAGAAGGCTGACTGCCGAATAATTCATGCTTTTGAATTGAGGAGATTTTTGAGAGTCCCCTGGACTGCAAGGAGAACAAACCTATCCGTTCTGAAGGAAATCAACCCTGAGTACTCACTGGAAGGATAGATCCTGAAGCTGAGGCTCCAATACTTTGGCCATCTCATGAGAAGAGAAGACTCCCTGGAAAAGACCCTGATGTTGGGAAAATGTGAAGGCAAGAGGAGAAGGGGACAACAGAGGACGAGATGGTTGGACAGTATCATCAAAGTGACCAACATGAATTTGACCGAAGTCCAGGAGGCAGTGGAACACAGGAGGGCCTGGCATGCTCTGGTCCATGGGGTCACGTAGTGTCAGACACAATTTAAGGACTAAGCAACAAAGCCATAAAACAAATGGAGTGATGTAGTGCAAACGATGACCTATCAAGTGCGATATGATTTGGGTCCAGGTTGTCTGAAGAACCCCATTTGCACATTTGACTCCCTTACTTCACAATGTTAAAATGTTCAATGAAGTACTTTTGCTTGGTCCTGCTGCTTTCACAGGAATGTCGGGTGAGGACACAAGACATGGCCTTTTTGGTGGCTGTTCCTAGGCTGTGGAACTCCCTTCCACAAGGGGCCAGGTTAATCTCTTCCCTTATCAACCTTTTGAACAGGATCTTATTTAGATTTCAGTCTATAACACTTCTGGGCTTCCATGTCTTGTGTCCTCTCCCTTCCTACATTTCATCATCTTTCTTCATTCATACCAGAGCATTGCATAATGCAAAATTATGTAAATAAAATACAAATAAGATGCAAACTAATTATATTATGAAAATGATTAGACTAATTTTGACCAGAAACAGGCCACTTCAATAGCATTATCTCATCCATTTACTAAATTTTCTTTTGTCCACGTGGTAGGGCACAAGTGGCAGGGGCATAAAGGCTGCATTGATTGAATTTTTCCACATTCACAGAAAATTGTCCTATATCCAAGTAGCCCTGTTTAACTTGATTATTCTTTTCATCTTCCTACATTCTTTTGAAGTCTATTTGAGTGGCTTCCAGATGGTCCAGCCAGAATCTTGTCTTGGTGAGAGACACTCTTCAGCATTCATCCACTTGGCAAGTGTGTCTATTTTTTACTCTCCATAGGTTTACTTTTAGCATATTTTGGTTTAATATTTTAATATCAAAATTTAGTATTTAGGAATTTCGAGGTGTGTGGAAAGTTTTTCCTTGGTTTTAGCTGTTACCTAGGGGGTTGGTATCCGTAAAGTGTGTGGGTTCGGTGCTGTATTACTTTATTTCGTTCATTATTTGCTAGCACGTCTCGACGTACTTCTGGTGAGGCAATGCCAGCCAAATAATGGACTTTTCCAATGGAGATAGATTTCGGGCAATCAGTAATTATCCTGCACGATTCATTAAGCTATATCCACTTGTTCGACATATGCATTTTATCAAGTGACAGCCTGGTGGAAAGCTCTGTTAGACTTGAATATTTTGTGCAGCCTAATTATTTATTAATTTATTAAATTTGCAAAGTAAAACAAACATGCCATAAATATTTAAATAATATACCAAAAAAACAAACACTACCTATAAACAGATGTGTATTGAAGCTATTTCCCCTCCTGTGGATTTTATTTTAATTCATACAAATTAACAGGGCCCTTTTTGGAAATTTCAATCCTGTTTTTGACCTGTGGAGAAAGGAGTTTTTAGTAGGGGATGCTGCACTGCCCCACTTATTGAAATATTCTTTTAAGAGTTCAGTGCTCTGTGATTTTTATAGTTATATATTTAATTTCATCTTAATATTGTAACTGGTAAATATAATAAATAATTTATACAAGCTACTGGGGGCTTCCTTTGGGAGAAATTTAGGATCTAAAACAAAAGCATCTCTATATTAATGTATTTCTCAGGGTATTTTGAGAAGGTAATATAGAAAAGGGAGATTTTAGGGGACGACCGAGGATGAGATGGCTGGACAGTGTCTGCGAAGCAACCAACATGAACCTGACACAACTCCGGGAGGCAGTAGAAGACAGGAGGGCCTGGCGTGCTCTGGTCCATGGGGTCACGAAGAGTCGGACACGACTAAACGACTAAACACAATATAGAAAAGGGAGATTTTTCTGTTTGCTTTTTATGAGAAAGAGTGGGACACGCGCTGACTATGAAACACGTATAATAGCTCTAGTAAGACAATATTGTTATTTGTTCTATTTCTTTCATATAGCCCAGAGCAGCTTACAGAGCATTCCTATTTTATTTTATTATCTCAACATCCCTGTGAGGCAAATAAGAACCTACAGTAATTCCTTTACAGCCTTTGGACCTATGCCATTCCTAATTATATTTTCATATCCGATAATGAAAGGTTGTGCTGTGTGAAAATATTTTAAAATGCTGCCCCTTGTTTTTTACATCTATGAAAATATAGTTATAAAAATATATAATTGTGGAAGGTAAATAAGAACCTCATTCATTCGCAGTTATTCCTAATTGTGGTGATATTTTCATATCTGATACTGAAACGTACAGTACTAAAATTCTGCCCCTTTTTATATACATATATGTGTATGTATGTATATATGTATGTATGTATGTAATAGTTTTGTGTGTGTGCGCTACATATATATGTATGTATGTATGTATGTAATAGTCTTGTGTGTGTGCGCGCGAGAGAGCGAGCGAGAGAGCGGGCGAGTATCGCACGCCTGGCTTTCTGGGAAATGAAGTCTTTCCTCTCAGCCAGCCTTCCCTTGCCCTAGGGGCCTAGGAGGAACCTCTGTAGTGCTTTGAAACTACAACCCCCGTGGTGCTTTGCGCGGCGGCGAAAGGCAGGGCCCTTGGGGCCAAAAGCGATTTTAGCGCCTCAAGTCTCCCCCCCCCATTTTTTTCTCCTGAGAAAGGCAAAAGGGGGCGTGGCTGGCGAAGAGTGGGCGGGGCCGCCCGAAAGCGCCGGTGAGAGGGTAAAAGGAGAAAGAAGCCAGGGCGCCTGCGCAGACTCCACCCCACCCCTTCTCGCGTCGCTACTACAAGCCCGTCCGAGCAGTCGCGGCGTGTGCGTGTGGGAGAAAGCGAGAGGAAAGCCAGGCGGGCGAGTTGTCTCGCGCTGCTCAGGGGTAGCCGCCCTCGACCAACCGCCGGCCTCGCTCGGTCTCGCGCGGGAGCGCGCCCTTCAGCCTTCGAACGACCGGCCGACCAATCGCCTGCTCGCCTTGTCGGCGCGCGCTTCTCTCTCTTTCTTTCTTTCTCTCTGTCTCTTTCCTTTTTTTGTCCTTTGATTTTCTGTTTGCCTTCCGCCAAGCTCCCTCTTTTTCATTAGCCTCGGTCGGGAGCAAAAAAAAAAAGAGATTGAGAAAAAGAGAAAGAAACTTGTATATTAATATTATTATCACTTAAAATCCGAGAAGACCTCCACCTCGTCTTCCTCTCCCCCGCCTTGCAAACCTCGCAAAGATGGTGGACCGTGAACAGCTGGTGCAGAAAGCCCGGCTGGCCGAGCAAGCGGAGAGATACGACGACATGGCGGCCGCCATGAAGAACGTGAGTCGCTTTTCCCCCCCCTTTCCCGGCCGCGGCCAAAAAAGGGCCCGCCCGCCCCTTTTTCTCCCGCACTCCTCCCTTCCCGCTTCGCCCTCCTGAGGGGAAAAAAAAAGGGGGGGGTCTTTTTGAGTGAGGGTCTTTATAATTTGGGGGGGCATTTCTAGTCTCATTAATTCTCATTAAAACGTGTGGGGGTGTTTTTTGAAGACCTCTTTCCTCATAGATGAGGTGTTTTTTAAAGGGAAATATTCTGTATAAAGGATGTCAATTTCTTTTCGAAAACTGGGTTTAAAAAAGCTTATTTTTTAAAAAATGTGGGAGAGGGAAGGTGTTTTTATTCTTATTTCAAAGGGGGGCTTTATTATATAATACTTCTCCCTTACCTAAAATAACGATTTAGAAAGAGAAAAGTGATTTTTTTTTAAAATGTAGGGGTAGGGGAAATAACATCTGGTTTTTAGAAGACTAAAAAAATATCATTTACTAATGATAAAGAGATTGAGGCAATATATTTTTTCTTTCCAACTCCAATAAAAAGGGAGGGGGGAATTTTCCCTTCTAAATGCTTCTACATCTAGATTTATACAATCTTCAAATGGAGAAAAAGGGTTGGGGGGGAATTGACCCCTTTTTGGAGAAATTGGGTGGTGCCTTTTTATGTCATTCAATAAGGCACATATTTTTTTTAATTGAAAATATTTTTACCCTGCTTTTCTCTTTAAAAAGGACTCAAGGTGGCTCAATATGCATTTCCCCCTTTTTCCTCCCAAGCCCACCCTTTGTCTCCTCATGAAATAGTCCACTAACACTGAATGGGGGGATTCAGATGCTTTTGGGGTGGGGAGCAGGAAGCTCTCCCCCAATATGAGAGCTTCAGGTCCAGACCCAAATCTCATTCCTCTGCTTTTCCAAGACAGGATAAAATAGCCATGACTTTCTCTTTCAGTGCTGTGCCACACCTAGAAAGGGGGGGGGGAGGATTTTTCTTCTTAACACATGTCTGAAGTTTGGGGTGGGGAGATCCACCCCCCCTTTTTAAGCTCCAGTCCCAACGCTGGCACCCATGCACTCTTTAATATCCTTTCCTCTCTGTATTTCGGTAGGAAAGATGGTTTGGAATAAGACAGCCGAGGCTTTTAAAAGGCATATTTTTATTTTCTGTGTCATGCCTGGAGCAGATGCCCCTCCCTGGGAAGAACTCCCCACCCAGGCGGGTTTCTGGGAAAAGCCTCGCCCTGAGGCTCAGATCCACAGGGCACTCCTTTCTTTGCCAGGGCAGAGGAAGTGCCCCTCCCTGAGGGCACACATCCCTTCCCATATGGCTTTAGCAAAATCCGCTCCTGTAAAGCACATTTTTGTATTTGGGGCTGGCAGGCCGGGTGGCCTTTTGCCCTTGACTGGATGTCCCTGTGCTTGACATGCTGAATTTCTCTTTCATCCCAAAAAAGGATAAAGGTTCCTTTCTCCCCATTCCTGTATTTTTTCAGGTGCCCTTGTGTGCCGCTTTTGACCATGGTATGGGTTTTATCAGCTCTTTTCTCCCCAGTCATCACCACAGCCGTTGCTGCATCTTCTGATTTTGCTGAGTTGCTTTGTAGTGTGGGGCATAATGGATGCTTTTCTCTCTTTTTTTTCTTGATCGTGGATGGAGTGAATCCATGGCTGTTTGCTCTTCTGCTTTATCACAGGGCCTGGTTTGACATGGTTTCCTTTTCCTCCTTGAGGGAGGGGAAAGGGGTGGGGTGCCTCTATGCTATTTTATGCATGAGTGCTTTGTGGGTGACTAGTACTACAACCCTCCCTTGCTTGTGGTACCACATTACAGAGATGGAAAAAATTCTGCAAGTGCTTCTTTAATGGTATAGTGCTGAGTTTGGATGCTCAGTGCCTCTTATTTCTTTCTCTCCCACCCAGCCCCATCACCCCTATGTCTGGATGGTGCCACTCCCTGGTCGCATTTCCTATTAATTCAGCTGGTGTGTCCACCACCTACCCCTCACAAGGAACTCCACCCACAATCTCCCCCCTTTAATCTGCCCTATGACAGGATGGTGAGCTGCCTTAAGTGCAAACATTTCTGCCTTAGACCAATAATATATGAGATATCTCATATATATTATTGGTCTAAGGCAGGAGTATTTGCACTTAAGGCAGCTCACCATCCTGTCATGGGGCAGATATATAAATCCCATTTTCAAAGAGCGTTAGGACAGAAAACTGAAGGAGCAGAAGATCTGCCAACCATTTCAGTTTTTATCATGGAAAATGGGACTGGGGCTAAGGTATTACAGGTTGAAATCTGGATTCTGATATAACATATGTAGGTGAACCAGCAGAGAAGCCCTTTCCCTGGGCAGTTTTTCTGTTTGCTATTGTACACTGAATTCTTAGTCATCTGCCTTAGGAAGATGAGGTGCTTCCTACTCTAGCAATATGTACATGGTTTCCTTACGTTAGGTTTTGAAAAAAGATTTATTAGGATATGTTGTCCAGGGTTAACTCAAGCTGTCTTAATGTGCTTTACCCTATAAAATAATGGCATGGCACAGAATGCTTAAGTGTTGTAAACGAGGTGGTTTTGTTTAAAAAAAAAAGACACCCCCATCTGTTTTTTGAATCCGACATGAAGAAGAGAAATCTTTGATCTGATCTTGCAAACAAAGCCATCGTGGGAGGCAGTATCAAGTCATTCCAGAAGATTCTGCATTTGTCATATTGCAGAGAGGCTAGACTGGGTGGAGAGAGGGAGGGAGGGAGGGGTTGTTTTAAAGGGAGAACAGTTCTTTCTATTTGCCTTGTTAGTCAGGTCTGAGCCTTTAAGAGAAGCTGGGGTGGCCTCCCTCTCTGATGAAGAGTGAATACTGATCCAGAATTGTCGCAGTCTCTGCCTGAGGTGCTGCTGCTCTTTATCTTATTGCACCATTTTGTCGTAACCTTGTGTTCGCTAAGCAGATGGTAGAGCTGCCAATACTCAGTAGAACGATGCAGCTAGAGCAGGATGAATGGAATGGCAGTTTAGGGATCAGCTTAGAGGCGTGATGGTACAGATTCAAAATTTGACAAGCTGCCTCTGCAATATGATACCATGCCAATCATTTCTCTGAATAGGCTCCCTGGAAGGAGCTGGATGCAACTGTAAAAATGGCATATTGTGATCTGCGCATTCTGTGTTATAACTTCTTGAAGGCTGTTTTTTGCTGCAGCTTTTCTAGCCTTCTGTTATCATTCTGCAAGTTTTCATCATGTCCCTTAGGCAGAACAGTACTCTTTTTTAAAAAAAGAAAAAAGTCTATCTTTGTATATAAATGTTAAGCTCTTCTAAAACTTCAGCATCTTCAATTCAGCCCCTTAACATCTCACTCTTTGGGCGTCTGTGCACATTGCTGTCTCCTAAGGCTGACACAAAGATTTAGGCTGTTAATACTCAGACGTGAAATGACAAAACCCTTCCAACCGACTGGACTTAGAGCTGCCTGATAGTGAGTCTCCTCATGCTTGTATTCCATACCATTTTCCTCCACCCAGATTCTAGCGGTGGAAGAGACTAATGACCTCGCAGTCATTTCCGTAGCAATACAGTGATGTCACAGGTAACAGCAAGGACCTGCAGTGCACCCAGGTGGTAGCGAAGAGTGGTAGAATGGCATTTGTCCAAGGTAATGCAGAAATGTGGGCATACAATTGCATTTGCATTGACAGTTTTTGTCTTGGGAAATATTCCCCTTGTGCTTTTACAGCTAAGATGTTGAATTTCATGAGTGTTGTAACTACATCTGTATTAGAGATGTAAGTCTCTTTCTGTGATAAAACGTCAATTTGTGTAGGATCTCACAAGACAGGATATGATTACAGTTAATGGCACTTACGTCCTAGTATTATTATTACCCAGGGCCACTAGGTCAGTTATCTGGGCTCCCAGGTCTTTTAGGACTACTACATCTATTCCTTGGGTGTGCTTTTAAAGACCCGATTGGGGTTGGTGCTCCGTGCTATTTGGGAGCCCCCCAGGTTGACTGCTGCTGCCCTAGATGGTACTTAGGCTGCTGTGTATAGTGATTTCCTTCGTTAACTTGGTTGTAGCAGGTACGTGCATGGGGGCTGTACTGAGTACAAAACGATGGTGGAGACATTCTGTTTTCTTTAAAGACAGAGTAGTGCAAGTATAAGGAGAACCTGCTGGGAAGACCAAAGAAGTATCTAATCCAGCATGCTGTTTTTTACAGTGACCAGCTAGGAAACCTGCAAGCAGGACAGGAGGGCAGTAGCAGTCCTGCTGTTCTTCCACCAGAATCGACACAAATTGGCATGTGAGCGCAGTGTGAAGGGTGGCCATTGCTGTGCTTCTGTGAATTAAAGGGTCATTTGTACAGTAGCATCTAAAATGGATAGGTTTACCTTGGAACAGGGGGAAAAGGTGCGGAGTTAACTAGGTGTTCTTGAATTTCAGTTCTCAGCCATCAGATCTCTCCTAAAATTGGAGCGGGACCCCAGCTGATGTTGGTGTGTGCTGAAAGCATCTGGAAATTGGTGTTTTGGAAGCTGTTCCTGAATCGGCGTTCTGTCAGCTATACAGCTACCTATTGTGGGATGCCTTAATCAATACCCATTAGTGATAATGGAGATACAGCCCTCTTATAGAGTCTCTGGAGGGGGACATTCTTGCCAGTTCTCAGTTCATAAGAGCTGCACGAGGCCTGTGTGCTTAGCTCTGCACAATAGCCTTGGACCTCTGGCATTTCTCTGGTCTATCTTTGTAACTATTGGGAGTCTGTTCAGGTTTTATTTGAATGTATATGGTAGATAAAGGTGGATAAGGCTTTTAAAATCAAAATATATTGTCTGGTGGTGAAGTCAGGGGTGGGGGATTTGGTTTGATCCTGGGAAAAGAGCCAGCCTGTGTGGCCTTGGGCAAGCTGCATTCCCAGGACACCCCTGGAAGAAGAGAATGGTAAACCATTTCTGAATATTTTCTTCCCTGAAAAGGGTTGCTTTACATCAGA